CGGTAGCGGCGGTTGTCACCACCGCACCGTCGTTGACTGCACCTGTGCCTGTGTCCGTGCCTGTGCCCGTACCTGCCCCCGTACCTGCACCTGTTTCCGCACCATCTCTCAGTCAACCTACTGTCATCACCAGCCAAACGCCGCCGCCGCCACTCATTGGGACTCCCTACGCCGCGAGAGACACATACCGTGCTGGCACTACGAACGTAGGTATTTCCATGACGTGGACCACATACACACGTACACACATATATGTATATATGTGTATCTATACATACATATAGATAGGCGCGCGCGCGAGATGTACCCCTCGTCTCCTTTTCCTCGGAGTCTATCAGCAGGCCCCGATATGACTTCGCGATGTGTTGAACGGTCACGGTCATGCAAACACGCCCGGGAATGAGAAAGATTCTTTTTTTTCTGATGTTGCACCGAGATCATGGTACATGAGAAAGAGTAGCGAGACGCTGGAGCTTTATATTCAAGAAAATAAGAGATTGCTTCTTTCAATGTCTATGTTATCTTAATAGATACTTCAATATTGAGCTGAATCGCGTGGCTAGGTCATTTTCGTTCCTTTGTTGAAAAGACTATTTTTAAGTATATTACAATTATATTTTTAATCTTTTGCGATTGGTTTTTTATTCTAACTTAAGACTGCTGCTCTGACCTGAATAATCTTTCCTTTTCAGCAACATTCAAATAGAATATTTTATTTCTCTTATTTTAAGTTATGTATTTAAAAGAATTAAATAAGAATTTTTATACAATTTGTTAGATATTGTATTTCGTGAAAATTTTATTTGATATTCAGCTAATTATTAATATTTGAGTAAATTTAGTATAGGAATAACGGGATAGAGATCAATATTAATTCATAACATCAGACGTTACACTAATTGGAACACGCATCGCGCAACGCAATCGCACGCATACCATATCGCTCGACCCCGTCCTTGACTTTCACCGATTATCGGCCCTCTTCCTTTTTTCCCTCCCTTTTAACAATATGATTCGCGCGTGTCTGACGCTCGACAGTTTTAAATATGCTATATTATTTGCTCAACACAGATTTACACAATCACACGTGTCATTGAGATATGATTATAGAACTATACAAATAAATAAATATACAAAATAAAATTAGAATAAAAGTATGCAAAGTGTGAAATATAAATATAAAGAACGGTATTGAGAGAATGAGACAGATATTTTAAGCAATAATATACAATATATTTCTCTCTTTTCTCTTCAATGTACACACATATCCAACTGAACCGTAATTGGTGTATTTTATTTATAAAGTAGTTAAACTTTTATAACGAATATCTTTTTCCTTTTTAATTATTAAACAATTTTCAAGTGACGATATAATGTCTGTTAGTGTCTGTTTATAGTACAGTTAATTTTTATGAGTCCTAAATCAAGTTAACGGTATAACGCAGTTTTAACGGACGTTATCATATTTAGCTTGTAGCACGATACGAGTAGGCGGGAGAAAGTTACATTCGCCTACTCAGACTAGGCGCGCACGCACACACACACACACACACACACACACAAACAAGAATATACACACACACACACACACACACACACACACACACACACACACACACACACACACACACAAACAAGAATACTCATCTTATTTTGCTTGTTTCTTACATGTATTTCGAGTCGATTATTTAGTTGCCTACTCATAGAGTAATTTCTTCAGACTTATGGTACTGTTGAGAGAGAGATCACCAAGTTCATAGTAACAAAATTATTTACGCGAATCGCCGGAATGAACTACGACAAGCGAATGAGCTAGCATCGTAATGCAAAATTACCGGTAAAAATGAAAGGAGGGAAAAAAGTTTAAACAGATGATTGCGGTAGACAGAACATAGGGGACAGAGCAGCGGTCGCGTGGTATATCGGTACCGCGTGTTTTCTTGAACCGGGTCATCGATTTTCCTGAAATAGTTTCTCCGAGAAGGTTAGAGAGGTGCGGGAGATAAATTGAACCTCTGGCAAAGAATGAGTGAAACGACGATGAAAGGGGAGAGCAGGCAAGAAAGAGGGATGGAGAAAGAAAGGAAGCATGTAAAGTACTTTTGACCGTGGTGTTTTGTTTTCAGGTGAACGAGAGACTTGCTATTAACGTGAGCAACAGTCCTCTGTCGCAAGTTGGTGGGGTTGGCGGTGTCGGGGTAGTGCCCGCGGCGGAATATAGCAGCATGGGAGCTGGTAGCAGAGGCGATCGGCAGAGGATATCCCTCTTGCCGCCTGTCGGCTCTTCGGTGACTTCTATACCATCGCCTTCTGCCGCCGCCGCCGCATCGGATTATCAGCAACATACGACGACAAGGAATCCGCCGCGAGTAGGCCTCATGCCCGTCCAGCCTGATCAGTATTGCAGTCGCACCCCCGTCGACATGTCCAGTCTGCAACAGGATGCGCCACCTTTCAAAAAGATCCGTCTAGGGCCACATCAGCAGATCCAGCAGCTACAATCGCAGCCTCAGCCACGTTGCCTGTCACCCGCGGACCCATGTGGAGGCAAGCAAGAACAACAGCAACATATTGTACAGTTGCAACAGCCACTTAGGATAGACACCAGGGTGGGTAGAATGTACAATTTGCTCGATAATCGAGAAATTAGTCTGTGTAATTGAAGGGAGTCGTCTATCCATTTGATATATTCTGATAGTATTCATTGCCGATAATAAAAATCAGTTTTATTGTCGGTAATATAAAATTACATTTTAGATTTAATTCACTATTTAGTTAGGACTGTCTCATGGTTACACAGTATCATCGGTTTATACTGTTGAAAATCAAAACATTGAAATAATAGTATTAATTTTCGCGAGATTGTATTAAATAAATAAATCAGATCGCAATTAATCACATTTATAGTATGGGATGTAAATTGAGATTAATTTACATTTTCAGAGAATAACTATATATAAATATAAATAAATTAATATGTAATTAAATATAGAATGATTTATAAATGCATATCAATACTTTAGATTAAATGGATACTTAAGTAAACAAACAAACAATAAACATAGATTGGATATGCGAAAAACAATGAAATGAATAAGTTGAACACAAAATGATATGACGAATTTTTGCTAGGAGCAGCCTGCCGTGGGAGCGTATACGCCACAAACGGAAGCTATTTCGCCTACTCTTCCAGAGCCGAGTACGCAAGAGGATGCACAATATAGGAGCACCAAGGATGATCTTCTGCAACAAATTGGCAAGGTTGACAGGGAGATTGCTAAGAGGGAAAATCAATTAAATATGTTGCGAAAGAGGTTAAAAGAATTGGAAGAAACAGCGAATAAGCCTCTAGAAGTAAAAGACACTGAGGAACAGTCACAGCAACCAAAGCATCAATCGATGGCGCAAAAGGTCTACGCTGAGAATAGGGTAAATTATGTAAATAATGATTAAGTACTTTTATGTGTTGAATGAGACTAAGAAAAACATTTAACTTGAATCTGGATACTGCATGTGTGTTAACTAACATAAGTTATGCTGTGTGTTAACATAAGTTGCTTTTATTTGTATCATCAAAATATTAGTTAATTTTAATATTTGAAGCATAGAAAAATTTTATTATTGAAGTACAGAAAAATAGATGATTAATGAATTGAATTTTAATTTGATATATTTTAATTAACAGAGAAAGGCGGAAGAAGCTCATAGACTCTTAGAAAGACTGGGCCCCAAAGTAGAACTACCTTTATATAATCAACCGTCGGACACAAGTGTATACCAAGAAAATCGTACACGGCATCAGACGTGTATGCGTGCCAGACTCATAGCTAGGCTTCGGAGAGAACACGCTGAACGCGCGTCTCTTCATCGGCAGCAGTCACAAACGTACGCAATTTTGGTTCAAGAATGGCATCGTAAGGTGGAACGGTTAGAGGCAACGCAGAAGAGGAAATCGAAGGAAACAAAGAATCGCGAGTTCTTCGAGAAGGTATTTCCCGAATTGCGAAAGCAGAGGGAAGATAAGGAGCGTTTTAACAGAGTTGGTGCTCGTATTAAGAGTGAAGCCGATCTTGAAGAGATAATGGATGGTCTACAAGAACAAGAGGTATATTCTATTATTGTGGTATGTGTTCATAAATAAATGGTCATGAAATGAGCGACGTGATATATTATGAAGAGAGAATTAAAAGTATGGTGAAAGCAAAAAGATGGTATGGGAAGAAGCAAAAAAAAGGCACGTTACTAAATTAACGTAAATTAAATAAACGTCCTTTGACAACTACAAACTGAAATAAAATAAAGGGGATTTTAAACGGTAAATTAATAAATGAGAGAGTTAAGAGACACTCATTTAATTTTGTTGAATTAGCAATATTAGCTTATAAAATAAAATAAAAATTATTTTGTCGTGCAAATCTGTAGCCTATTATTGTTGTTATATATAAAGTTATTTGTGTGCTCAAATATTTGTCATGTATACATTTAGAGGACGACGTATTAGAACAATTTAAGCATAATATAAAATAAAATATATTTATAGAGAGTTGATCATTATTAATTTTGAGTGAATTAAAATTTTTTTATAACAACTTTCTTTTTGTCATAATTTATTCTTATTTTAGCAAATAATTATTGTGAGAAAGATAATAAATGATATACGTGGCAAAACGGCTAACTTACATATGCTAAAGGCAAATCTAACCTTTGCTCTATCAAGTTCTTGATCCTTGTATATGAAATGTATGCGAGTAGTAATCTAATATCTAATTATAGTATTCTTGATATAGCGAAGATTAGATATATTATTTTCTTTTATACTTTTTATGGATTTTGTCTCATCTCTTTCTTTATTTTCCCAAGAGCAATTCTGTGAAAGAGCCATTTTCACATCAAAGGATTAAAGAGAGTTGATTATAAGGAAAAGATGGTAACTGACAATTTCTTCCTATCTTTAGACATTTGTTTTCTCTCTTGGTCTTCTCGTGTATGCTGACCAGGGAAAGGATGGCAAACTGGATAAATGGATGGAGATGATTGGAAGTTACCATCGGACTAATAGACGCGCGCGCGAGATAATAAAGTTTTAATTAATTCAGATTTATGATGCTCAAGTAGAAAGTTTCACAAATTTTTTAAATAAAGTATCCCTCTGCACTTGATGACGTTACATTAAATATAATATTTAAACCCAATTTTTTGCGATTACTGTTTCATTTAATATTTCTTTTGAGAAAGCATTGTTTTAAAAATATTCTTTATTTTTGTGTTTCTTGCGTTTTCTTTTTCATTAATTTCTGCTAGATAAATTCTTATGATGATACTTCATGGAAGACATCTAATTTATACTGATTCCCCAGGAAGAAACATTGCAAGATTTAAAAAATTCCATTAAAGCTTGTCAGGTTAGTAACGTGCGCTTGCTTCCTTCACCCTTACCTCATACCATATGGATTGTATTCTATAAATTGGCTGCAAAAAATACATTAAATCGGTAAATTAAAATTATCCTAGCTTAACAAACTAAAAAAGCAATATTAAATCCATTATTATTGCTAAAGTATAGTTAGGTATTATACGTATAATTC